AAACTTTCGGAGGAGCACTCAATCTTCCGTGGGGACTTCTAGAAAATTTATCATCTTTAACCTTTGATTCTGGCTTTGTACTATATGCATCCATGCCTGTCCTGACTTCTGAATCTAAAATGATTATGGTATCCCTGGTAGCTTTATCGGTAAGCGTTTCTTTCAAAACTTGGAAATCAGCAATGCAAAAGTCAGGTTGATTCTCCAACGAGTGTTCCTTTGTCCCAGCAAGAGACTCAAACTGCATGGTTCTCGACAACGCTGGAAAATAATGAGCTTTTTTCCTTATGTGATCAAATATTGTATCTTGTGTTAGACCATTGAGCACACTTATTGCAGATTTAGAAGGAATTCCACCTTCAAAAATGAAAATAAATCACTAAGAAGAGGAATAAATAAGTTAAAAAGAATGATTAACAAGGAAAAAAAAAAGATAATTAAACACTATTATCCAATTAAAAGTGCACCTGAATCATCCACAAGGTCTGTGACAAAGCTTCCAGGGACATGCTTTGGAGTCAGAAGCTTGTTGATATCATGTTCATATTGTTCTCTCTCTCCTTGTTCTGAACTCACATTGAGCAAAGCTAGTGAAATTTTGCTCCCTTCTCTCTCTTCCGCAATATCCAGTTCAGTATCAAGTTCAAGGGCCTTGTCAAGAGGACGTTTTCTTGTGAGAAGCAAGGCCTCTGATGATGGAGAACAAGCATTGCTTGAAGTAGTCAAGAGAGGGAAATTCTTAGACTTTTCACGTATGTGCTCAAATATTGTTTGTTCAGATATGATTTTACATCTGTCATTTCGGATTTCAAAACCAGGCTCACCTTCTGTATTTCAAGGTAGAAATTGTCAGTGAAAATCCAAATACAATGCAAAAATTAATAGTCTTCAAGCCATACCTTCTCCCGAATCCTCATCAATGAGTTTGAAACTTGGCCTGGGATAGAGACACCATATGGTTTAGTGATGCAGAATGAACATGGACTAAGAAACAAGAAAGAATTATGTAACTGGTATCTTATGTATGGAAAGCAACTATTATATTGGAAAACTACTTGCGTTGACTTGTTCCTTGTTTTAGCTTTTGTCAAATTGCAAACCATTTCAGCTGGAGCATAAGATGTAGTTTCACTTTCATCTTCTATGACACAAATGCCCTCAGGTGGAGGAAAAAGGGAAGGTTGCTTGCGTCTGCTTTTGTGATATGTTTCTGGATTGCTTTCCTTCATCAATAGAAGTTCTTGGTGGAAATCAAGACCAACTGCATGAACAATAAACTCTTTACATTAACTCTGGTAGTTAACTAAGGAAGGAAAAAAAAAAACGTAGAAAAGACGTATCAAAATTGCGATTACTGTATTCTCCAAAAACAAGATCAGCCTTCACAGTCAGCTTCTGCTGTTGTGGGGTTGACAGGAGAATTGTTGCACTATAGGGGCTGCAGTGAAAGACAAACAACCTAAGCTTTGAATGGTACATTTACTTGACTAAACATTCACTTTTTTTTAATGGTGAAGTAACTTTCACCAAAAACTAGCGATATGCTTCTTTAGTGTTGTTGGTCTTCTCATTCTTCTGTGGGTAGTTAGTCTTATGGTCCAAGTTATTACAGCTTTGCAAAGTTTAATGGAAATTGCCGCTCATTTCAACATTGGTAATTAAATAGTATAGAAATTGTAACTTTTTTCCTCTCAATAGTTATGTTCAAAAAATTTCATAATTATCGATTTCAAAGGCCTGCTTAATACATTTCCTGACTTTCATCCTTTCATTTAATGAAGTAAAAAAAATCAATGCTGCAACTACATTAGTAAAACATCAATATGAAAGGGACCTGAGGTTTAAATCTGTATACCTCGAGAACTCATCCACTCTGCAGCAACCAATTGGGATAGAGCAGCATATAGGTGACATAGTGCTCATGAAAAAGTAAGCATATGATTAAGGGCTTGGCAAGCTATAAGGTTAGAAGAATCAATTCTGCAAAGAACATGTAGCTTTTCCAGGCTAAAATAGAGGAACAAGTGATTCTAAAGCAGCTGTTTTTAGGAGAAATCAATGTCGGTATGCTTGAATGCTGCAGTAATATCCAATTACTGAATCTAAATATATAAAAAGAGAACATTACCTTATTTTCTCATGAAAGTGAATCAGGTTATCTTCTTCTGTACCAACAATCTGAAAATATAAATATACATATAGCATGTTAATGTTACTTTTTTCTGACCTAACAATCAGTAAGATGAACAGTTCTTAGCTGTGCATTCTTTTATTGCAGTATGATTGGCACTAATTCCATAAGGTTTAAAGAAAATGAAGAATATACATTCTGGAAAACATACCATATCAGCATAATGTTGTTTAGTTGAGTGGAGAGATTGTGATAGCCTAGTTAATGTCACAACCAACTTAGACATGCCTTGCCTGTGGCACTCCTTTTCCTCAATACTGATATTGACTTTTGGAGGTAACGATAGGAGAGAGTCCTTAATATGGTTCCCAAATGGGAATTTACGGCCAGTGACAATCTCAATTCTCCTTGGATCAGCTTCAGCTAGCGTATCAAATGATTTAATTCCCATTGAATGGAGTGCCTGAAAACAGAAATATGGAGGAACAGTAAAATTTTAACATACAAAGAAATTTGAAATCCGAAGGGTTTTTTTTTTGTCAGTGTCACCAAAAGATCATTACTCGAGCCTTCAAATTGCAGTAAAGTAAATTAAACCTTAGCAGTCACCATTCCGATGCCAGGTAATTGCTTCAGCAAGTATGGACTATCATCCCAGAGTTTCTGATATAATGATTTTGCTAGAAGGGTTGAGTTGATGGCTCCTTTGTAATTCCTTTTGAAAATAAAATACTCTTTCATGCACTTGGCAATTCTACATCCATTTGAACAAATAGAATTCATGTCCTAGTTACAGACAGCAGATTATAGTCTCATCAGTAAAGCTTCCAGCTTAAGTTAATACAACAAAAACCTGTTAAATGAATGAAATAAAGAAACCTGGGTTAGGGATAAATCATGAACAGAGGGATCCCCAGTCAAGCAGTCATTCGCCAAAACAAATATCTTCTCTTCTCTAGTTTGAATACGCCTTTTTCGTTTATTCTTATCACCATTGATGTGAAACCGAAGCCGACATTCACAATCGATGTTGATATCATTCAGAAGCTTTTTCTCATTGCGTCTAAGTTGTATCCCTTCATTTTCAGCAAAAGTAAATGTGTGATTCTCATGTTAACCATTTGAAGCAGGGGGTAGGAAAAACAGTTATTGGAAAAGTATACATACAAGCAATTTCCTCGGCATGACATATAACATTAAGTGCATCTTCCAAGCTGCAGTTTTCTGGGGTCTGCATAACATGTTTCATTGTATTGAATTTCAAATAGTACTGGGTCATCAACCGTCCAGGCTCTGATGAAACCAAAAAAAAAACAAAAATTAGGAATTCCAATCGAAAAAAAAAAAGAAATATCTTCTATATGAATTTAAAGTACCTAGTGGCTTCAGTAGAAAACCATCATTGTCAGTCCAGATCATTTGGTGGTGGGATAACTCGTTAACTTTCTGAACACAAATCTCTGGCATGGCATTGTGTTGATAAGAAATGGAGAAGGAAAAAGAAAAAGAAAAAATCTACCAATACCTAAGAACAGTACCTTGCATATGCTTCTCTATGCGGTCTCTAGAAATCCCTTTCATAATGGCATAATTCTCAGGGTTCTGAAAATTCATCAAACTTTCAAATCCATTGAATGGCAACGACTATCCATGTGCTATTTTTTATGAGATGCCCAGAAATGCATACCTTTTTTATCCTAACGTATAAGTACGAGCACTTCATCCACTCAATTGCCCTTGCAATATCAGAAACAGTCAACTGTACTATCTCTGCAGTCAAGTGCTCCGTCACACATGAAAGCAATCTCCAGGAACAAGAAAAGTTAGTAACCTAATTGAAGAATGCACAATTTTTATAGAGTCTGCACAACTGTCCAGAGAAACAAATCCAGTATGATATTAAAGGTTATAAGCATACTGTGATTCCACCAGTTCACATCCATTCAAGAGATTCTCATACAAATGAACCTGAGGTCATGATCAGAACAGAAGACAAATTCAGACAGGACAGACAATTCTCACATAAACTAGGAGAATTTCAATAATAAAGAAGCACCAAACATGCAAAAGAGAGAAGAAAGTATTGAATAACTGTTTCTCTTCTTGTCATGATTATAACCATCCCTGTATCATCAAATGGTGGCCGGCCTGCCCTCCCACACATCTGCATGAGACTTTAAAATGTTAGCCAATGGACTTAGGATGTGCAATTTCTTTCTTCATAAAGGAGCCAGGCATGGTTAATATGATTGAATTGAGTATCTGATCCACACTACATTTTCTTTTTTGATTGCATTTTACCTTCTCACATATCTTAGAATTGACAAAGACCTTATTTGCAGTAATTATAATTTGTTATCCAAAGAGAAAGACACCATTGCCCACTGCAGATCTTCCAAATAGGAATTGCAATTCCCAGTTCAAATAGAGTTTGGATTCACAAGCACTACATACGACAATTATACAGATTTAATCACAGAATTCTTCCACGATACGAATTCTACAACAAAGAGTTAAAATCAGAGGAATCCAACCAGTACTCCCCAGGGGATATATCCACTCAGAGTACAACATTTGGCCAACTTTGTGTGTGTACTTGATACATGAGCAGAAAGTAAAACCATAGACTAGTGTTAGGACGACTTCTAGTGCTCTCATTTCTCAATCTTATGCATTTGCGCATATTCAGGTAGAAAGTAGTTTGTTATGCAAAAGAAGTGACATACCTGTAATATTGTGGAACGATCATATTCCAAGTAAAGACCTTTTTCCTTGTTGCTGTCACAAAGTACTAGTTTTAGATGAATCAAAATACAAAAAGAGACCTTTTATCTGTTGATCTCTTAATTTATCTAGAAGATGAAGGCTTCTAGGAAAGCTTCTTGACGTACAAGTGTTGTGTTGATTTTATGACTACAGTATGTGCTGGTAAGTTGATTCCATGAGCGAGGGTATTAGTGGTGCACAGAATTTTAATATCACCCTTAAGAAACAGACCCTCAATAAGGCTCCGATCTTTCAGGCAAAGCCCACCATTGTGATAACCAACTGCAAGCACACCACTTCTTAACTAAAATCACAGTATTCGAGACAAGCTTGAAGAATGAGATGATATTGAGTATATTACAACAGAACAGGTTAGCCCCATACCTCCATAAAGGATATAAGATTGCAATTGTTTGTCACTGCATGACAGTGAAGCTTCCCTTAGCCTTTCCTGCTGTTCTTTGTCTTTGATGAATGGATTTGAATAACCAAAGGTCATTGCTGTCTGAGATAGTTTCTGTGCTGCTTCCTGTGCCCCTTTTCTTGTCGAGCAAAAAACCAGAGCAGATTTCCCTCTTGAATATTGCATCAGAATATCTGAATATCACTTGTAAGCACAGGTGTCAGTTGTGATATCTTTGGAAATGCGAATTTGAGAAGAAAACAGAAAATTAAATGAACACTTAGTATAATTTGTGCAAACATTTCCACTTACCAAAAATATAGTTTTGAAGGCGCTGGATGTAGGTGAAAAACAATCCATCAGAAAAATGAGAGAAAATTTCCCAGATAATGAATTTTTTTTAGATTTTCCTTTTCAAATCCATTAAAATATCAAAAGAAATATAAATTTTAAATTGGCCACAACTTCAGTCCAATGAGTGAGCAGTCACCTTTTCAAATAGAAAATCATTCTTTGCTGGAGCATAGCCTGCAAAAGAACATAACAATAATGATGAGAATACAGTATAACAAGGCTATATAGTGGATAGCTTGTCCTCGATTAATAAAATCTACAAAATTCCATGTGAATAAAACCATGTAAAAGGGTGAAATGAGAAATGTAAACCATCATTTTCTAAGTCACCAAGAGGAACAGTATGCTAATGTGCTAGATGAGAAACTAAATTCGAAATGAAACATTCAAGTATACCAAAAACTTTGGTTGTCAACTTTACAGGCCTCATTTCTTCTCCAAACCTGCGAAGGCATTAGAAAGCTAGTTGAAATAAACATGTGCTAAATGGAAGAAAAATACTTAACACGGAATCGCATAAAAGGTACCTTTTAATACCCTGGACTGGAACATTAAGCCACTCAGCTGTAGTTATCATATGCCATAAGCAAATTATTAAATGAATCAAGTGTTGTTTTGTACTTAATGTCTGTAGAGAAATACAAATGGAACTCATTTTAACTCTTTGACAAACAACAACAGCACAGTGTTAGATTTACCAAGATCCTCAATATTTGGAATTGTTGCTGAAACTGCTAGAAAACGGACACAAGATAGAGGACTTGATTTCATTTCCAGGTTGTGAGCAAGCATCTTTATTCTACTAACTATTGCCTCCAAAGCAGCTCCACGTGGATCATTCAGTAGGTGAACTTCATCAATAAGAAGAAGGCCAATGTCACTGAAAAAGCTCAAGCCACCATCCTTTATGCGATACCGAGTAACAGCATCAAATTTCTAGATAAAGGAAAAGAAAATACGTTCAACCATTTTCCAACGGTATTGATCAAATAAAACCAGTATAAGCGAACTTGAAAAAAGAAACAAGGAAAAAAAAAGAAAAAAAAACTTGAATGCAATATGTATTTTAAGAAATTTTGAAAGCATGCACACATGGACAGTGAGCAGGGCTGGAAAGTGAAAAACAGCACAAGGTGGTTCTAGATTGTGCTGAATACGAAAATGATAATCAAATTGCCAAACCCAACCAATTATCGCAAGGCATTCTTCATTTGTGGCGAGCTATGCATGCATGCAAGCTTTAGGACTGCAAGCATCTGTGTATACATATCTGCAGTTTTGCATGGTATTCTTGCATGCTGCTTTTTGTTTCGTTGCATACTGACCTCAGGAGTAGTTAGAATAATGTCTGCCTCTAGTATAGTCCTTGTGTTGTAGAATTCATTGTCACCAGTCAGCTCCAGGCAATTTATCCCCAACGATCCAAACTTCTGAGTCCAATCACGGAGTTTTTCTTGAACTAAAGCCTTAGATGGGGCTATGTAGATCTTCATATGACATGAAAAGAAAGAAACAAGCGATAACTAATGAACCAAAAAGAAAATCATGGATGATACACTGGAACTAGAAAAGCATGAAAACACCTAATCAAGATAATGAACCAGGAAGAAAAGCATGGATTATCCTCTTGATAAAGAATAGGGCACTACTGCCCCAGTTAGAGCGAAACCATACTTTAAACAAAGGAATTGGAAAAAATCAAAATGTAATACTACAGAAATGGGGATGCAACTTATGCCATGGTTCCAGTGAATTATAAAGAATTCAGAATCAAGAAATCATTTATATTTTGTAGTTACTTAATTATGAAATGGACTCACTGAACCTTATTGTTGTCATTTTATTCGGATACTTACTGTTTTTAGCATTCCTTTGAGATGCACAAACCTCCCTTCAGAGATGAACTTCGAGAGAAGCCTCAGTATGCACAGTTCAAAGAGCACTGTTTTACCACTTCCGGTTGGTGCTGAGATAACCATGTTTGCATCTGAATGGTAGCAGGCAGGAAAACATTCACTTTGCAATGAATTAAAATACCTGCACGTATAAGAAACAAAAGCAGAATATCTGTAACTGATTCTCCATTTGCCTAGCAACAAAAATAGCGACAATATGAAGATGGAAGCAACTATTGAGATCACTTTATGCAAACAATATCAGAAGATGCAATTCCTCTCAGAACGACATAATTTTCGTTTAAGTGATTGATTCAATCATTAGCATTTATTTTCATCTCAAAATTGATATATATATATATATATATATAAAAAAAAACCAAGCTGTAAGGATTGGCAACCTGCAACTTCCAATGTGATTTTTTTTTAATTATTATTATTAAACATACGTAAACTAAATCAATAAGAGTGCGTACCTGAAGCTAAAAATCGAACGAAAGGGACCTGGCAAATCTGACACAGACTTGAGCGTATATGAATCCATTATCAGACAACTAGTTCTTGATTTCCTTGGAGGTCCTAACTTCTGAAGAGAAAAAATTCAAACGAAAATCAAGTCATGGATTAGCGGAAAATACATATATAGATCAATTGAAATTTAATTAAAAAAATTGGAAAGCAAATAAACAATATTGAATTTTAAGCGCTAAGACCAAGAAGCATAGCATGAATTGAATAGAATTTCAATAACAAAAAATTTGATTTCTCTTCATCGACACTGATCGACCACTGCATATCTATGTATCTATCTAAAAATCGATTGGAATGAAAATTATTTCAGAGAGAAGTGAGAATGGAAAGCGGATCAGATCCTTTCCGAAATTTGAACTACTCTAATAAAGCAAATTTACACGAAGGAGACAGTTATAAAAACAGACCTAGAGAGGCAGAGGCAGGGATAGAGAAATGGAAGCTTTCGATTAGGTTTTTCCAGTGGTATAATTAAGAAGTGATGAACTAGGCTGTATTTATAGTGACCTCAAGAGCTTTTGGCGGGATGGAGCACTCATTCACCTCAAGTCAAATGCATTTCGGTCAAGTTGATCTTTTGCAGTCCGAAGACGAGTTGGGTGGTAGAATATGTAAAATCATTTAAAATTAATAATTTTAATTTAATAATGCGTGTTATATTATAAGTCTGTTAAAATATATTGAATTAAAGGTAAATAATTATTTATTTTATAAATTTTTTATATTTTTCATAAATTTTGTAGTTAAAAAACATGATTTATTATTTTTTTATATATTGATTTTAAAATAGAATATTTTAATACAAAATTTTAAAATATGCTTTAATATTTTTTTTATAAGATTTCATCAATAAAATAAAGTAACAAGTAATACAAAAATTTGTATAAAAATTAACAAATAAATATTTTCTTCATTCTTTTATATACATTCACAAAAAATCAATAATATTAGTATAAAAAGTTGTATTGGAATCTTTAAATGATTCTTTTAAAATATTATTTCAATTATTTTATTTTAAAAAATTGATTTTGGAATGTTGAAAAAAATTAATAACAACCGATTGGTGTCACGTATGTAGATATATAATTAATTTATAATAAAATCAATTATCTCAAAAAAATTTATATACATCATTGACCATACTTAATGAGTTCGAGAGGATGAAGAATAAATAAATTAATTAATTACAAAATTAATTTTAATAATTTTAATTGTATAAAAAAAATAAAACAAATGAATTCAATTTTTTTAATTGATTTTTTAGAAGGTTTGAGACAAATTATCTAAAATATATTTTTAACTTTTTAACACTTTTATTTAAAAATCATATGAATTATATAAATATATATAAAAAAAGATTAAATAATAATATTCTAAAATTTTATTTAAAAATACACCATAGAGAAAAAGTAAATCATATTTATTAACAAATAAAATTATATGAAAAATATATAATTAATTTCATGAGAATTTCAGTATGAAATGATAAATAAAAAAATCAATTTTAAACAATAAGACTAATATAATCTAATACATATGTTCAATTAAAAAAGATAAAAAAATTATATTTTAAAATGTTATTCAAAAATACATACATTGAGAAAAATAAATCATATTTATTAACAAATAAAATTATATAAAAAATAATTTTATGAGAATTTTCATAAGAAGCAAAAAATCAAATAATAATTTATATAATGTGTATGTGTTCATTCTAAATTCTGAAAATATATTAAATATATTTCATCACCGTCAACTCCGTGTGAAAAACCAAAAAAAAAAAAAAATTGATTTTCTATCATTTTTGCACCCAATTCAATAATACAATAAACGTTTAAAATAAAATTACTAAAAAACAAAATAATAATAATAATAATAATAATAATAAGCATTTCAATGTGTACATGTGTCCGTATTAAAAAAAAATTAAATTTTGTTTTTCATTTTTTGATCTACCTCTTTTAATTATTTTATGGCTTAAAACTATCACGAACACACTCTTCTCACCAAGTTAAAAAATATGAATGCAAGTTCCAAAATTCCCCTTTTGAAATCCCGAGAGGATTGGCAATAAAAGAGATTGATATTAGAGCCAATCATAGCTTTCTCTACACTTAGGGGTCAAATTGCGACATAAATAATTTCAAAGATCAAAATTAATTTTTTAAAAACAACGGGAAGCAAAGTACAATATTAGGAAAAATTGAAATATAAATGCCTCAATACAACCTAATAATCATAAAAAATAACACTATATATAGTGCACCCGAGTCTAAATGAACAGAATAAGATCGTGAGGCTATGGCCAAAGGACGTAAACTTTGTCAAAGGTATGTGAATTTTCCTAGAGTGCCTGCTGCAGAGTTGCATTCTATCATTAAATCTTGGCGGCCATAGACTAGTTCAACAAATGGGTAAAAACTAGGCCATTAAAACGAGTCAATCAAGTAGAGGTTATTAGATTTATAAAAGAGGAGATAATCACATAGTTTGGGATTTCGAATCCATAACGATAGATCAAGACACTTCCTTCAATGGAGGATTAATGGTAGAATTTGCAAATGAGATGGGGATCCAGATTATGAATTCTACTCCTAATTATGCACAAGTTGATGGTCAAGTTCGAATCTACCTAAAAAATCATCAAAGCAAACATATAAAAGATGGTTACTAACAATCTCAAATATTGGCATTCACTACTCGATAGATACTTTATAAGGTTATATAACTACGGTTAGGAGGGTAACTAGTACTACTCCCTACGCATTGACCTATGTACATAAGATCGTATTGCCTTATGAAACAAGGGTGAAGTCTTTAAGAGTTACATACCGAATCAACTCACGGGAACTTAACACCATGATGCAATGATTGAGGAATTGGATAACATCAACAATTATAGAATGAAAGCTTTATCACATATACAAGTCTAGAAACAATAAGTAACCAAGGCATATAAAAAAATAATCAAGGTTAAAATGTTTCGAGCAAGAGATTTAGGCTGAAAGGTAATCTTGCCTCCCGAACTAAAGATTGAGACTTAAGCAAATGGTCACCAAAATGGAAAGGACCATTCCAAGTATCTAGGGCATACTTTGGTAACACTTATTTGCTATAAATTTTAGGAGGAGAACCCCATAGAAAGGCAATCAATGGAAAATATTTAAAGAAATACGTTTCTTCCATTTAGGAAGTCAACAAAGAAGTCCTAAAAGAAAAATATCCAAAACTATGGAACTAATTCCAAATGTAGTCTCATGTGCTGGATTATTAAGAGAGAGAGAGAGAGAGAGATGAGGGTAATTGAAATAACAAAATATATAAACATAAAATAGAGTTTTTCTTATATATAGTCAAAGTTACAACCGATAATAAGGCTTCACAAAGTCTATTAGAGAGGCCAATGAAAACATTAAACCTTGATTAACTAACAAAGTTAGGGTGGCCTCTATCTCTATTTGTAAAATTAAGGAATTGTTATGAGCATAACTCAAAGCCCTCTTCTTTTGACGAAGAGAAGTCTCGACATGATCGATGTTCATGTGCTAGTCTTGAATCTATCTCTCCAAGCCGGTAATGTCAATTTCTAGTTCAAAGGTTCTCCTAGAGAAAGTGTCAATAGTCTATAGCTTAGGCCGAGAGGAAAATGCACCACTAGGGCTTGGAAAGAGGAAACCCCATCTAGAGGAACTACCACTTAGGTAGAAGGAAGACCTTGAAATGGAGCAAGATAAGAAATGAGACATACAAGAGAGACAATCACAAAACATAAATAAAATATGTACCTCATCCTTAATGTGAGGACCTATTACGATACGAGGAAAGTCCATCTCCATGGCTATATCAACAACATCTTCATCATCCATGGCCAGTTAGTTCTTTTTAGTAAACTCGGCATCTAGCTTAATGAAAAAAAGAGAATAAATACCTTTACGAAACACCGTACCATGACGGGAAAAAGCGACTTCAATCCGATTCAAAGGTTAAAGCTAGGAGGGAAGAGGTTTAGAAGAAGAAGATGATGATGATGATAATGAGACTCGAAAAGTTAGCCAAAGAGACTAAGGAATACATATGACGCCCCTATCCCGGTTCACTCTCTATTACCCAAATAGGGATGACCGGGCGAGACGCGTCACGGCCGACACGACTAGTCTTTGAATTAACCTTAGACATGTGCGTGCTCATACGTTAAGAATTTATCATACTATGAAACCCGTATAAAATAATTTATATAATATTAATAATACGAGTGAAAGAAATTATAAAATTTATTTACAACACCATCAAAATGTTTCTCGATACCACAACCTCAAAATTATAATCAAGAGAAATTTTGATACATTTGTGTCACACGTAAGCCTTTTTTGAGGATCCAGCGAGCATCCTTATCGGTATTAACGTCGCTTTTACCTATCATGGCATGCAAGAACAAACAGGGTGAGCCGAAGCTCGGTAAGTAGAGTGATGCATGTGTAATGCAATGTTTTTCCGCTTGCCCTCACTATTCTCATCAATTTGAAATTTTAAGGGTACCCTGGATATTAGTAAGTTTGCTATATTCTCGATGATTGTTGAATAACATCGCAATTATTTACTCGTCGAATAATTTCAGCAACCGATTACTACCGAATAACCTCGGCAATCATTTATCGCTCACAACGGAATTACACCTTGTTGCGGCACATAGTTAGCGGAATCATCCCTCGCTTAACGGTATTAGTAATAGAGCACACACATGGTTTCATACTCGTTATCCATTCCATTTAGTTCGGTTACCAAATCGTTTAATCTCATGACTCAATGATGTTTCTCGATTTCATATCACCTCCAAATGCATGTGATGTATATGGTATTATGTTTAACACATTCGACTAATTATGCTATCACCATTTTCTTCTCGGATCATTCCCGTGTCCAACGGACACTCGGGACTTCACGAGTGTTTTATGTACCATTTAAAGTATTCAAAATAAGAATACAATTTTCGTTCATCGGTAGCATTCGTTGCATAAATCTACTTCGTACTTATGAGTTTTTCCTTTTCATATACCGGGTAAGTCTAGGCTCGAATTTTTGGTGTATAAGTTAGTGTATGAGACCGGTTAATCCGAAGGATTTATAAGTGACATACTTAAGCTAAATGTTTGCTAAATCTAAACATTTAATCTTAGTAGTCGAAGTTGACTCATAAAGGGTCTAGGTTTTAATCTTGATTTTTTTTTAAATTCTCTTTTTCCATTACCCTATTTATATGTCTTGTAATCATTAATCTCTACTTGCACAAAAGAGATTCAATGTTAATCATTTTCTCTCCTAGGCCAAATGGTTCCAAAATAAGTAAGAAATTATTTTTTCATTTCTAGGTCACTTCCTTTTTAATGACTTACCAACTCAAACTTAGAAGAGTTACCAAAGACATTTAAACCTTAAGGTCCACCAATGAACCCAAATTTAGTGATCAAATGTCCAATTTACCTAATGAAGTTCAAAACCCTATTTTTCTTTAAGTTAGGTCTGGATGGGTTGTTAAGATGGCCATGGATTACCTTTTTTTTTGTCTAGTGAATTTATTTTCATCCTAAACTATTAACTCATTCCTAATTGAGTTACCATGATATTTTAGGCCCTTAATTTTCTCAAAAGATCAATTCTTTTCCCATTTTCCCCACTTGGCCGAATGGTTTTAGCCTAAGGAAACTCTAGAAGTGTATTCCTTTTTCTTTCCAAGTTAAGCTTACCAAACCTAGGTTAAGTTCAATCCATTCGGTTTATACCTTTTTTCTTTCTTTTTCCTTTCCAACCCATCCACACATTTAAATCTATCAAACAAGATTTGCATGACAACAAAACATATAAATCCATCATAATTTAACAAACCCTAACACCAACACAAACAACCATAGCAATCCATAGAAAAATTATTACAAACCCATGAAATAAACATTAAAAAAAAATAACTTAAAAAAAATAACTTAAGAAATTAATCAACCAAAAATGGAACCTATTTACCTTACTTGAATTTCCTAAACGTTGGTTAGGCTTTCCCTTCTTTCTTTTCTTTCTTTTTCTTTTCCTTTCCTCGTTCCTCTCTTATTTATCGTTTTTCTCTCCCAATTTTGATGGCTACAGCTGCCTAAAAATTTCTTATCATTTGCACTCTTTCTATATATATATACATGCTTAAAGTATTGGTCTAAGTAAGTGTAAAAATGGTTGGATTTAATTTGAAAGAGTGGAAAGTTAATGGTGAGTCATGAGAGAGAGGTGGCGGATTTAAGATAAAAATGGGTGAGTTGGCTATTAATTCATTTAATGCATTGCTTAGGTGTCTACTAAAATTTTAGGTTAAATATACACCCTAATTAACTTAATTCAAGTAAACAAGCATAGTTTCCATCATGAAATTTTGAAAATTTCTTTTCTTAAAACTCGAAATTCTTTGTCCATTCTTTTCTCAAAAATTCCAGCAGGTGATGCTTAAATACCAAACTATACTAAAATAGCCATAACTCTTTATATATAAGTCTAAAAAATTATGAAAGTTTATAGAGAGCTAGTAGACACATAGAAGAACAACTTGTATTCTTTAAGTTTTACCTAAAAAAGCACTCTAAAGGCCTTAAATAAATCACATAAAAATTTAGGCAGAATATAGTCCTCGAGCACACTCGATTTTGATATATATATATATATATATATATATATATATATATATATATATATATCAAAATCGAGTGTGCTTGAGGACTATATTTTACCCGAATTTTATGTGAATTATATATATATATAGTTTTGGGTATTTATCTCTCTTCGTATGTTAAGTCCGCGGCGAGCTTCGGCAGCTCCATCTCCAAATTTGACTTAGCTTTCCTATGCACTTCCTTAGCTTGGACATATGAAATACATTATGTTTTCCCACTAATGATGACGATAACATCTATCCTTATCATGTTACTAAGGAGCCATGCTAATCTTCCCTATATCATGCCAAGTTTATCAAATGTCCCTTCTTCCTAAGGGACAACTATAAGATATTCTACCACTAATGTCTTTGGTTTACCTTTTGATCGGGATAAATGTATAACACCGGATTCAATCAAAACATAAATAATCGGGCTAAGATTGAGACCTTATCGTAATTCACCGTCGCATCCCTCCGAGTAGTCTCCTCTTGCATCATCGTGTAAACCCGAGTAAGTACCCTTCTCGATCCTAGTTTTGGTGCTTGAGGGCAATTATGGGCGATGTGTCCTTACTTATGACAAATATAGCAAGCTCTCAAATCTGGTTGACACTCTCCTACATGAAACTTTCCACACTTATTGCATCGGGGTTGTTTACCCATTATCGATCTCGGCTAATGACTCGGTAGTGACCTAGGAATGTATGGTACTAGTACGTCGGTTCGTACATTTCCTTGATCACCATTTTGCCTAAAATGCCCGAGCGAGGATCACCTTAATGGTCCGGACGAAGAAGCTTCCGACTTGAATGTTAATTTCTTCTGCTGTATTTCTTTCATAATTTCTTTCGATCCTTGTCTACTAACATCGCTTTATCTATCATTTTTGAAAAAGTGATAGCGGTAGACATTCGTACCATGCTTCGGACTCTTGGGTTCAGCCTCGCTAAGAATCGATTTCTTTTCAAATTTTCATCCCCGGCGATGAATGGGACGAATAGAAATCCTTGTTCAAATCTCTATACGTATTCACCTACATACATCCCATCTTGTTTTAATTCGAGGAATTCTTGAATTTTCTTCGCCATCACATCCGCCGTAAAGTATTTATTGTAGAAGACCTTCTTAAATCCTTTCTAAGTTAAGGTAGGTAGGTCCACTATCAATCATGCGCTCTCCTAGTATGTGCGGGTAGCCTTCGTTAGCATAAAAATGACACACGATACTCGTTCATCGTTGGTAAACTATAAGTATTCAAATATCACTTATAATGATTTAATCCATTCCTCCGCTATCATTGGGTTAACACCCCGGAGAATTCCCGAGGACTCATCTTATGAAACCTCTCTACTACGTCATTCCTATGCTGAGGTGACGGAGGTGAAGGTTGTTGATGCATAGCCGGGAGTCTGTCTCATTTGCTTCGTATGGTCTTGTTGTTGTTGACGCATTACTCGTTATTATTGCTGCATCATATCTATCATATGACTTAAAGCATCCTGTTGATTTCTATTTTGATCATTAGAGGTCTTTTCACCTCCCTGCTCATATTGGCTCTATTCTTGGTATGCTTCGACTTTGTACATGCCATGTTATGCTCATGTTAGTTTTGGTATCAAAATCAACATATAGTGTAAATCATCTAGGTACGTACGGGATTATACATATGTATCATATATATTAAGCACTTCGTACAAAATAGGCATATATAAGCATTTCCCCTCCTAAGGGTTTTTGTACATATTGACAACCAAAAAGGTGCCCCTATCTACATCAAAAATCGTACGAAAATTACTATGTTGCATATTATATCTTTCTTGTAGTATGTCTAACGTGGCACATTAACATATCGGACGCGTCGGGGAAAGACGCCCTCTACCCACCACCGGTTGATAGCATCAATCGATGCGGTAAGTGCTATCTCACAAACAATACCTATAGGTAGACCCCAATTATACATGAATCGGGTAAGGGTTCGTATAACTTGCACTCGGTAGGAAAGCTTGAATCAAGTTTTGGTAGGAATTATGATCTATTTGACTCGTCCGGACCTCATCTAGCAATTGCTCGGTCTCTCCGTAGGAGAGTCCGACGTATAGTCATCCTTATAAAATCTAGGTTGCGATACTACTCAAATGTGGTGTTAGCAAATACTATATGCTTGAATCAATTCATATGCTC